CTATATGTCTGTCACTGTTCTAATAAATTACATTACTAACGTGTGAAAATCCCTAGTTATACAGGAATTATCTTGAATGTTTCCTTAATCTGTAATGCAAAATGTAACCCATGTGCAAAAATAGAGCAAGTTTATCTTAAAACGTTCTCCACGAATACATCTTTTTCTCGGTCCTTACATGCTTTTCTGTATTTATCACTCAAGTTCATTGTGTACCTCTCTTTTATCTAATTTGTGAAGTATTCCTCTTTGAATACTAACATTTGAATTTGTTTGACTGATTTTAAAGTACATGTATATTTTGGTCAATGCGTAGGGAAATGAGGAACTGTGGCACTGAGTGTTCTAAGCATTCCATACTGCATTTTTCTTAAGAGTACAGTTCAGTTAAAAGTGAAATGTGTTTCGTACTTGTGAAAATTTTATTTACTTATTATGTCATGCTCATGATAAATAAAAATGTTATACATGTGCGCTGCACTGCGTGGTTCCAATGTTTAATTAAAATAATGCTTTCAAAAAAGTGTGGTCTTTCTTATGACATATTCAAAATGCGTTAAAATTTTTAAAGTTGGTGACTATAGTAGATCCTTATTTGTACTTTCTGGTCATTATTACCCTATTTGTATAATTATTGTGTGTAATTTTATTTATATCTATGAGAAGTTAAATGTTAAAAAAGCTGTAAAAGTTCATTATTAAGCAATGTCAGTTTGAAATTTCTATCTTAAATTATTTTTGGTTGGTCTTTTATGTTATTACTATGTTAGATCATTATTTGGACTCTGCTCAATATTTCGTGTAATGTATCACAACTATGTAGGAGTCATTTGTCAGGTATGATAAATTAAATTTCGTCCTCAAAAGGCTGTAAGAGTTAGTGCTAAATAAATTATTGACAATATGAAATATGGGTCTTTTTCAGTTAAGTTACAATAAATACGTTAAAAATATTCCAAGTTAACAAATTTTTATATTCCAAATTGGGAAAAAGGCGATAAAGTTTCATTTTCATTTCATGGCTGAATATTAATTCCATGTGTATTATAGACATTAAGTTCTCCTCACAAAATGTGACTATAATTCAAATTTAAAATAATACGACACAATGTGGATATTCTTCTCTGTAGTTAAAATATAATTCAATCTTCTGTTACCTTGTTAAGAGAGTTAGGCTGTGATAAGTGAAATAGAGTAGTGTTATAAAGTTCTGCGGTAAATGGGGGAATCATATTAAGAATCCGAGTGACGTTTTCACATGAAGGAAAAAATCAAGGTTTCAGTGTATGTTTGGTGATTTAAGTAGGATATGTGCAAGAAAATACAAGATATTTTTAAAATATTTCAAAGATTAGCAAAATTTGTGTTAGTAGTAAATGAATCTACTGAATAAAAGGGAGTGTCTCAATATATATGTATAAATGTCTGTAGAGTAAAATAAGAAGAAATGAAGTACTATTGTTATGTATCTAAACTTAACTGGGTAGAAATGTTCCATGCATTGGTTTGAGTGGCTTTATACCATGAAAATTTATTGCTCCTATAAGATTTATTTAAAGTCAGTAGGTCTTACAATAAAGAAACATGTGTAAGTCTGTATTTATTATGGGGAAAAGGAATCAGAAATACAACATGAATATGTTTTTATAAGTTAAATTATAAGGTAATGTGTAAATGGAAAGTGTAAAATTACATTTGTCAGACATAGTTTGGTGAATCCTTTGAATTAAAAGTAAGACGTGTAAAAGGGAATCAAACAAAGTTTTTTATAGTTGGCCAAAAAAAGTTAAATACAGGCATTAATAGTTAGTACAAGGCATTAAGAAGGAAAAGTTCTGAGTATCTCCAACTTAGTAGTAAAAAAAGTAAGAAATGTAGTATTCCAGTTAAACTATATAGAAAGAGCATTGTGTATATTGGCTTAATGTTACAGAAAATATTATCTAGTGAAGTTATATGCATGTAAATTCCAGCTTAAAATTTCAAAGACACAGAAATGTAGGTAAGTTTACTTTTGGAGAAATGGAAATGGTAACATCGTATTGTATTTAAAACAAGGGAAAAAAGTTAAGGGTAAAATAAAAAATGTAACAAAAAAACTTTGTGTAAACAAAAAACTCAAAAAAATTAAATTATTAAACTAAATATTACTTTTGTAAAAAAAATTAAGTTAAAAATGTATAACAACCTTTTTTATAAATAAAAAGCGGAAAGGAAAATTAAATTTGGAAACATCAATATTTCTTTTGTAAAACCAAAAAAAAGTTAAACAAAATTAAAGTAAATTAAAGTAAAATACGAAAAGGAATAATTTTTGGAAAAAAAAAAACTTTGCAAAATAAAAAAGTGAAAAGAAAAATTCAATTCGTAAATAAAATATTACTTTTGTAAAACCAAAAAGAAGTAAACAAAAATTAAAATAAAAGTAAAATACAAAAAGGAAAAATTTTAGAAAAAAAAAAACTTTTGCAAAATAAAAAGTGAAAAGGAAAAATTCAATTCGTTAAAAATAAATTTACTTTTGTAAACCAAAAGAAAATTAAATATAAAAAAAAATAACTTGCAAGATAAAAAGTAAAAAAAATTTAAATTCACTTTTGTTGAAGTTAAAATAAAATTTATGTTTGGGAAAGGGAAAAAAATAAAATTAATAAATTAACTAATAACTTAAAAAAGTAAGAATGAGATGAAAATTGAAAACAATTAAAAAAATATCTTAATAAAAAAAAATTAAACCGTGGGAAATCTTACATTTAAAACAGCAATGAATAAAGTATGATTAAGAAGCCAAAAGAAATCCTAGCCGTCGTGTAAAACAAATGTGTGACGCGGTTTTCATGTCAAAGCGCATGCGCAGACTTTCAGCCTTATGTCATCAATGTTGCAAAAACTCAAAGGGACAAAGAGAGTTTCAAATAACAAGTCTGATGAGAGGACAGGGTAGCCGAGCGGTAAAGCGCTAGACTCCCATCCCAGAGATAGCGAGTTCGAATCCCAGCGGTGGAGTTACTTTTAAAATTCAGGGAAAATAATATTAATTCCACAAAAATTCATTAAAGGTAATAAGTAAAATAATGATGTACTAAATAGTTAATAATTAAAAATTAAAATTAATGACGTATTAAAATTATCAAAATAACAAATAATATTAATCACATGTCAATAATTAAAATAATAAATTAAAAGTGATGTCATTCCAAACACGTGGTTAAGAGCTCATTGCCATAAACATAAAAAATAGTGTCGTTGCCACAAAAAATAAAAACTTTGAAAACATAAAATCGTTGCCACAGAATCAAAACGAAAGTTTGATGATGTCATTCCATCACGCGAAACAAGATGGCGCTGGTGTCGTCACTTCCGGTTGTCACGTGATTCAAGATGGCGGCGACTACGCCCCTTTTCTGTGACGTCACTTCCGCCTAACGGTTACCTCCGGTTACTACTCCTAGGGAAATAAAGCACTCTTAGTGTTACTTACGGTTAAAATAAGACGCAGCATTTTGTATCGGAGACGATCAGGACAGCACACACAACGTGCGGTTATGCATTATCTCATTAGAAGATGGTCTCTAGCAGGTCTCTAATATAGGACATCACCATGGACCTAATACATTAGAAATATAACTACGGTCGTCTATATTACCGTCTCTGAGAACAAGAAGTAAAAGAGTTGTACATACACTTCATACCAGCATGTTAGTCCATATGACAATGATGAATAGAAGCTGGTAACGTTCTTCCTCTCAGTTCTTCTACACACGGTTACTTAACGTGATACTGTACACGGATACTGGATTCGTCTGAAAAAATGGTGTAGTGCCACTGCTGTGTCCAGTGTTGTTGTCCGTCGCACTACTGTAAGCACGCTGTCTTTGTTACAGCGTCGAGTGAAGTAGTAACAATTATTGCTGTGCTGGCAGTCTGTTGGTCTGCAGACGTTGTCATAGTGTAAATGTGGACGGCACTTGTTGTCTTGCACGAGAGCCAGATTCCTAACTCAAAGTATGTGACATGACTGTACGATCCCGCAAGGCTGAGAGGTTTCTCATAACTTTATTAAACACTATATACGGCCCGAGAGGATATGACGTTTCTGTCTGGTGCTAATTGCCCGAGACTGCCGAAATTCTGTATAGCGTCCATTGCCTTCACTCTCATTTGCAAAATTCTGGACCCATCAATTCTATTTTTGCCTGAAAGCCCTAGGATTCCGACCTAGGATCCTAGTGACGGATGATAAAGCACAGTTCCGAAAGGCCACGGTCCTGCCTCGGTCGAATTCCGACATGCGCTGATAAGTGTTTCTCCTTCTTATCCGAGGCATATTATCCCCTGTAGTTGTTTCTGTAGGTTGAGAACCTCTAAATTGTACCTACCGAGTAGCCACTGAACACATATTTTAAACATTTTTGATTTCTTCATTCACTACGATATGTAGAGTTCCTCTGCCAATATCCATTTTATGTTATACTTCATTGAAGATAATGCTTCAGTTTTTTAGCAGCAAGTTGGACACTCGGCTCATATACTCCTCACTGCTGACCTGTTCATGCTGTTTCGCTTCACAGTACTTAGATTTCCCGGGTTTAAGTTCTTAATCCAGTTAAATACGGAAATTCATGCAGAAACTTTTCACCACATAAGCCGCTAGCTGTTTGTAAATTGGTGCTGTTGGCTGTCTGTCTCTCCAGAAAAACCACGAAATTATCTTTTGACCAGGTGTTTAACTGTTTGCTTCGCTGGAAGCATAATCAGTATAGAACGTAATAACATTTTTTATTAATCATAAGTAAAAGTTTTCGAATTATTTGCTTAAAATTTACTACTATTGTAATTGCTATATAATATGCTTTTAGCAAAATCTTATTTATTTTTGAGCAAGTTTTTTTTCATAAATTCATAACACACTATATTTAACACCAATGGATCTTATTATGTTAAAAATGATGATAATTTTACTATCTGCTGCGATTTACATATTACTTTTCTCTTAACAGAAAAACAAGAATCCTTAATCAAAGAAGCCATGGATCATTATGCTAATAAGACATGCATTCGCTTCGTTCCGAGAAAAGACGAAAAGCAGTATGTGAACATCTTGAAAGGAAAAAGGTAACTGAATAACATTCCAATTCTTTGGCTGGTTTTAGGCCAATTCCAATTCTTAAACCAGTTTTGACAAGATTACTACGCTTTTGTATATGCCATATACGATCTGTTGATTAGTTAACCAACATCTGATGATCTTGTGCGAGTTATCTATAAGTTATTCATATCCAATTTTTAGCAATTCAACTTTACTTATCTTGGAATTTAAATAAATGGCGTAGCTAGAGCTTTCGGTGCCCGAAGCGATCTATTTACCTCTCCTTTCACTTCCTAACAAATAGAAATTCTGTATTTATTTTTGAAAGAATACTTTAATTTCAATATCTCAAGGTGTTATTTTGTATTTGTTTTTCTATTAGCAAATAGTCGATGATATTCTGAAGGTTTGTTTGATTAATCCAATCGCTGTTCTGAAAATAGTCAGTTTTAGATCCTAGTTGTTTCTTAATGTATTTGCTCTCATACAAAATTTCCTCTCATAACAAATAATACAGTTTATGTTGTTCTAAAAGAAGTAATATAGTTTACGAAATTTCCTGTCATAGCAAGTAATGTAGCAAATAAAAGAATATTTTCAGAAATATTTAGAACTGCTTTCTGGAGACCGCAATTCTAGAAGTATTTCTTTCGCAGTGAGGAAGTCGTATTTATTGACGTCACTGTGTTCATAATTTGATTGACTTTCGTATTTTTTATTCAAAAGTTTCGATGGAGTAAGAGAAGCGTAGAAAGAACATGAAGATGTTGAAATCTTGCTATAATTTCTTTGAATACTCTATACAGTGTAGAAACAAATCTTTTTTTAGTTCCATATGAAATTCAGCAACTCGTGTTATTTCACCTCAACAGTGGGTGTGTAAATAAAATGAAATAATACCGGAAGTTCGGCTTTGGATCAAATCCCCCCCCCCAAAAAAAAACAAAGGCTGGGTGCGTGCGTTGTAAGCATGCAGTATTTATCCTTACAATAGTAGCTTAAAGATTAAAGAGTGTTTAATCGTTAAGTTACTACTCCACTAGTTTTATAGCAGCTTAACAAGTTTTCTCTAAATTTGTTAAAAAAAACTGGCATTGAAGCAGCTTCCCTGCTTTATGGATTTTTATAATATAAAAAGAAGCAATGAAACAATGTTATGCATTAAAAGGCATCAAAATATTTTCTATTGGCATCACGCAAAAAATACAATTCCAAAGTAAATACTTCCAAATATTATTTACAAGGAGCAATATTTCTTTTTAAGGTAGGCTTTATGGAAATAAAAAAAAAACTTAAAACTGCGCAAAACATCATATCTATTTTTAAATGAAAATATGAAATACGAAAGATGTTTTCCCCTTGCGCGTTTTCTCCGCGATGTCGTAACGTAAGGTATATAACGTTTTATTCAAGTGTTACACATGAATACGAAACAGGGATCCTTTTGCATGTGAATATGAGTTATTTCACAGTTTCCAACTCTTTTATTCTTCGGGAAGCATTTCTTCCGTTTAGCAAATAAATGCTTTACTAATGCAATAAATTCCAAGCCATTTCTGTACTTCGAAGATCCATGTAACTAACCCATATGTCTGTATAACAGCATTTCGCAAAGGCTTTCACCTCTATGGGAGAGCAAAGTTGGTTGAAACTACAGATGACCATTTTGAGGAGCTTTCAGTACCTATGAACAAAGAAAGATAAATAGAATGTGACAAAATTAAAATGAGGAGCCTGACAAAATTTAAGTTGTCACTGGTCACCATTTTTCTAGACCTGTTATTTTTATGTAAAATGGATTTCTAAACATATTATTTATTTAGCTAATCGTGACAAGCATTTTTAATTGATCATCATGATTTATTACAAAAAGCTTCTATTTCTGAACTATTGTGTTCCCGGAGCTCTTGGCGGTTGTCACGTCTGCCAGCCCACTTGAAACGCCTCTGTCACTATTATTCGGTTTGTTGAGGTCATACGGGAGATTAGTTTTCCATGAATGTACCACCATCTTTATAAAGTGTCTTCTCCTTAATTTGAATTTTGCTCCTGGCATTGTCGCCGAAAGTCTTTGTATTTTCAGAATGTCATGTACGAACTTTTCTAATGGCTTTCGCTCAGTTGTCACCGCACGTTTACAAAATTTGATGCATTATTTTACATAAAAGCAGTCTCAAAGTTCGTATTATTTCCGGCCCCCGAAAACAAATCCACCACATTTTATGCTACTTAATCACAGGCGGTCGACAGAAATTCATGCACACGCATGAAGACGTCTAACTCCAGCTCACTTAAAGCTAATTTGTTTTCTTAATTAGTTTTGTGGAATAAAATGTCTAGTGCTGATTCCATTTCAAAAGTAATAACTGCAGTACATAAATAAACTGCTACATGATGTAAGAGAAACATAGTTTAACGCCAGAAATATGAAATATAACATTATATTAATAGTTTTATTTATTTACTTGTTGTTTTTATTTTTCAGTTGCTATTCTCATGTTGGCAGAACTTCCAGAGCACAACCCTTGTCCTTAGGACCGAAATGCTATAAGTTTGGCATTATCGTTCATGAGTTGGGTCATGCAGTTGGATTCTTTCACGAACATTCACGATCTGATCGGGATGATTACATTAACATTCACTACGAGAATATACAACCTGGTAACTAGTATACTTCATGCCTAATCTATGTTCATTTTACCACTGAGAATAATTTAAAATAGAATTATTATTAGCATTATACTCCTTAATAAGGGCAGCATTCAGCTAGAAACATTAGAATCTTGTTCCATAATCTACCAGAATTTAATAAGTTTTGTCAAGTCCTAAAGTTATTCATATTCTTTTATGTCCATATCAACGCTAATAGTTTTTGAGAAAAAAATTATATAATTTTGATGAAATATGACAAACTTACTCGTATGCTTGCAAAGTGATAAATGCTTTTGCTTTAAAAGCTAACAAGCAGAAAACAATATTTCTGCAATTTAATAGTCCACCAACTACCGAGTGGCTAAAGAAGCAGAATACTCGCAGTTTGTCCCGTGTTCCGTTCCTAAAAGAGTTGGTTATTAGAAGTTTCATGGTTTTTTTTTTTTTTTTTTTTTTTGTGCGTAATATAAATATAGTATCCTAAATCAAGCTCTTTTTCTCCGCAAGTTATCTTAGTTATGCATTCTTTTCTTAGTAGTTAATCCACATATGCTCTGTCAAACAAATCAAAAACTAATATATAATTTCTAAGAAGATATTTCCTTCTGTCAAGTTGTATTAATGGATTCACTATCATCTACTTTATAACTTATAGAGTCTTGTATTCTTTGGCAACATAAACTAATGAGCTCTAGAAAGACTGTAGAAGAATTATCCTGAGATATTGATAGCCGATAAAGTCAGAAGAAGGGTGTAAATGACCCTTTATTCAATGACCAAAAAGTTTCACAGACGGCCCAACTTGGGCTTACATAAGCCAAAACTTCTGGCTTAACTTATAACAAGTAATGTTGAACTTAAAATAAAATATAATTAAATCAGCCTAACGGCTCATAGGATAGGAGCACTCAACGTCACAGAATCAGATCGCAATTAAGTAACAGCGTGCCCTTCAAGTAGGCATACACGCTCGGAAATCAACTTCCGAAATCTTGACTTAAATAACAGATCTTTCTCCCTTAATTTGAATAAACGCGTGTTAGCTGATTAACTTCTGGCAGGAAAACGTGGATAAAAAGAAGAATGAAAGGAAAGTTGTTTTAACTAAAAATTGACTATTAGTCAAAATAAATGAATGCTGCATACAAACTGCATACATCATATGAGCCTTAAAATGTTTGGGGCTGTGGAAATTATTCTCGCTTAAATTTAGGACGAAACTATGCAAAATTGTATTGTAACACTATTCGAAAAACTCCATAATTGAACCAGCTTCTTTTAACCCATCTATCCGCTTCATGAGGGTGTTCATGTCCTGGAGATTGCAACTGAAACATAGCAATACCTTCCGTTCAGAGATTAATACAATTTTATAGTTTATTTGAATTCTTAATATACATAAATTCACAAAATCACGGAGACTGTTAATATAATCTAGCACTTTCATCTTATACTTCGGAATCAACATTCTCATAATCATAATGTTTTATGTTCATGCTGTTTCAAAACCAATAGAACTAACTTTAAAGGTTGATGCAACATACCTAATCAGGCGCTCTTAGTCACAAATTTCGTGGTCCCCCGTTAAGCTTTTAGGCGACAGCAGTACATTCCAGTTTTCTCACACATACGTTTTTTCTCAATGCGAAGACATATGATGATTTCCACCTTAGTCGTATACCAATCTATTCCAAGTTGCTAATGATGGTGCATAAGAATGAATTGAGAATTTAACTGCAAGTATCCTGCAGATAATGATGACGTGACTGGCTTAAAAAAGGTTTATGACTCTAGAGCTGAGATGATGAAGCGTATATAACTCTAAAATTCAGCCTAATTGTCATACTATGGGAAATTAATATTAATAAATTTGCAGTGTTGAGTCAGCTTCGTAAATTAGCTTTGTTTTCCAGGAGGTTCGAGTAAATTTGGTTTCATAATCTAACAGTAAAATCCAGCCAGATTGTCAATCTATAAAAGGGGGAAAATAATAAAATTTAATAAAATTATTTCTGAATTATTTTGACAGTACCTTTATAATTTCAAAACATTGAACTTTAAAAAACAACTCTGAAGAATTCTTTAAAAAAATTACGGTAAGCAGTTACTTTTATTTACTGAGCTAGTTCTCTCTTTATTTCTCTTTTTTATGAGCCAAACCTAAATAGCCTCTATAATATTGTCATTGATATTGTTTAAATGATTGTGGTGAAATATATGAAAACTATCTGTCTAATGGAAGGAGGGCCTTCTTGGAAAACTTACGGGGAAAACTGGAAAATTCACGAAAATTCACAGATTCTCATTCTCAAGATTCGTCGAAACTATAATCACTCTGTTTTTACAAAAAGCTGACAAGGATTGTCAGAAAAGTTGAATGGCTGGACATGATTCGAAGCAACATAAAAACACCGATACATTAATTTTTGCATGCACATAAATTTATATCTACTTGCCTGATAAAAAAACATATTATTCCTCGGCCCCCGCTGATCTGTTCGTGCTCTGTTAAATATAGCATAGAATAATTCCTTTAATTTACACACCGTGGATAAAGGATTGAGTAGATTAATGAATTTCATTGTTATGTCTTTGAGTTTTATTTACGAATTTCCTTTTCTAATTTTGGCCGACCAGTGGCTGAGCTGTAACGTCGGTGAGCACTGGCAGTTCGGTCCGAGACTCGACTCCAGCGAACGAGCTGGCCGCTCATTCGCGGGATACAAAAGTATGTGCGAATCGCAAGCATCTGCAGCTAAGCGTTCGCGGATTCTTCGAATTATCAAATATGCAAAAATGTTGTTTTGAGCGTTGCCAGGGATTGACTAATATAACAAATATGTAAATTTCTGTTTTAAATTTATAAAAAGAGTAACTAACGTTCATGAAATGTTTAAAAAAATATTTTGGGTTACCTGCACTGTCTCTGTCTTGCAGTTTCGAGAGATTTGAAGTTTCTTGCTGTGTCCGAGTGTCAGTCGACCACCTACCGAGCGAATGCACGAAATGACGAAGAAAGTCCACGAGTTCGTTTTTCTGTGTTAAACTAGACAGAAAGCTGAAACAAAAAATACGTCGTGTTAGACTTCAGGAGAAAAGCATCTGGTTAGTCTTGTATGAAAATTCAAGACCATGTACCGCTGTTCATGCAAAGCAGTTCTCGGTAAAACAGTCCAACGTAAAGAGACTACGGCTGTTCTACTCTTCTGGCAATATCAGATTATATTCTGTTTCTTAAAATTGCTATAAAAGGGTACTAAGTTTCTGATGTACATGACGTTAAATGGGCGCCAGCGGAGTTTCGACGTGTACGTTCATATGACTATGAAAACTTGTTTCAAGAATTAGTACATTTATGCACTAGAGTGTATAGCTGCTGGAAAGTGATTCTTTGGAAGAATGTTATTTTCATTATTTGTTTTTTAGCTCTAACATCAATCCTGGAATGTGTAATACAAACATTTTTAAGTAGGATCTATAAGGAAACAGTTGGAAAAATCGCATTAAACGTTAGGTAACGATCGAAAGGTACGATCTAAATGTTTAATGATACATCTATGATTTCCATATGCGTAAATAAATTCTCAGAAGGCGAGAAATCACTCTTTTTCATGATCAGTGATATAGTAATTCTACCTAATAGTCTATCAGAATTGAATGATTCTAAAATTCACGGAGATACTGTGCGTTCTATTATAAGAAAAAAAAAAAAAAAAAGAATGTGTTTAATGATACAACTTAAGACAATTTCTGGTTATTGCAACATTACTGAATGTGTAAAATAATTTAGCTCGCATCAAGGAACGAATAATTACTTCCACAGGTAGAATTCGAATTGTTAGGAACAGTTGGCATTTTGAATACAATTTCCATGTGTAGGTCGAAAACTTTGCTTTGGTTTGATAACAAAAAGATATTTTAATTTTCTGTGTTTTTCTCACGAACGGATTATTTTCTAGGAGCAGATTTTAAAGAATTTATATGTTATAAACAAACAGCGAATCTGTGATTTGAAGTCCTTAAAAAAATTTTTAATTTCGCTGAATCAAGGAAATCGTATTATCTAGTAAGCTATAATGTAATGTTCGAAAAGTAATTCTCTTTATATGAATAATATCGCACGTCTTATTTCACATTATATTTATGCATGTATATCTATTTTATCCTAAACGTTTTGCTAAAATTAGGCTATTAATACTCAAGGTAATGAATAATTTTAAAGCAACTGAAATTTTAAACGTCAATTTTTTTTTTTTTTTTTAATTTAAAAGCTTGTTTCTGAAATGCAAATAGTTTCTCTAAAGTAAGCGGTCAGACATTAATGTTCGACATGAGTTAAGGTCTCCCATGAAACATCTTGCATAGCTGTAACTTCCTATAAATTTATTTTAGGAATATTTCGAACATTACTTCAGGCTTCAACCATTTAAGACAATGAAAATCCATTTGCCCGAATTTCAGGGAATATATCTCAAAAGACTTGCTTCCATCTCGGAATATTTTAATGTTTTTGAGAAAACATCGTTAACTATTGCTGGTTTCATAAGATTTTCCAAGACGGCCCTTTATTTCAATATTGTGTATGGTGTATGGTGTATTTAATTATGGCAAAGCACACTAGGGCTATCTGCCTAAGGGGAGGGATGCCTTCGTGGAGGACTTTCTAAGGGAAACTGGCTCGTATACACGTTACACATGGGGAAAACCACGAAAACACCCATGCAGCTAGCCCGTTCGCGGGATTCGAACCTCTTATTTCAATATGACATAACACTTTTTTTTCATTTATATCAAACTTCTTTTCTCCTACTTGTGCATAATGTACCAGTTTAAACTAACTATGCAACTCCTTCTAACTAGACCCATGTTTAAGACTTGTAGAACAGGCATTCAATCATAACGCTTTAAACATCACTTTATACCTTTTGAATTTGTCCGTTGCCATATTTCTGCATATTTGTATTTCTTCTCCCGTCACCTGGAGAAATTCTAGTACTTTTTTCCTAATCATATTATT